AAAAAAAAAAAAAAAAAAAAAAAAAAACACGCTATACTACTACAATAGGTTACAGCTTTTTTATTTTTATTTTTTTTTTTAAAACAGTCTTTAAACACAAAATATATTTATTTGTGTCGACTCCTTAAATTAGTTGCACGCAATTAGTACGTGAGTGTTACTGTACATCGTATTTTAAGCCAGCCATAGGCTATTTTTATATTTAAAAATAATAATAATAATAATACAATTACTTATTATAATATAATATATAATACTTTACACTATGGAAATTTAATAAATACTGTATGTATTGTTATTCATCCGCTTTAGTGGTATATTCTTAAATTCCCAATAGGTAAAGAGTATAAATTACCACAATCGACGTAGTAAATACAAACCAATCAAAAATTGTTGGGAAGATTTTCTCTATTTTTTTTTTTTTTTTTTTTTTTTATCCCACAGAATAGGAATGAGAAAATGAGATATAAAAACAGAGAATAATTATGTAAGTAAATGAATAGATAGTATTATTATTATATTACATATAAGAATGTAAAGGGACTTAACTTCAGACTTTCCTTTCCTTTTTTTTTTTTTTTCCAAGTGTAAAAAGTGTTCACCTCGATTGAAATGAAACTCTTTCCATAACGCATGATGCTGATAATCGAGCTTCGGCATCGTGATCCCAACATTCTTCCATTGTATCGCACAAAGCACATAAACCCTAATACATAAATAAATTTCATTTATTTATAATTTTATTTTAAAATGTTATTATAAATAAATAAAAATTACCGGATGTTGTCGCCAGGTTTCACGTAAAATTGGACGTTGCTTTTTATTTACAACACATTCTTGCATATCTTCCAAACTAGGATGTTGGCCAACCTAAAATAAATTTTTTTTTGTCAAATTATGATAACAAATCGATTATATGGTAATGCTTGAACTGTTCGTCAATTTTTCATTTAAAAAAGAAAATTACCTCTTCTTCGAAAGGAAGCATATATTCCGAAATCGGTCCATCCTGAGCAGTACACCTGCTAACCAATTCCCAAAGAACGAGACCACATGCGTACATATCGATGCGAAGAAAAGCATCGCGAGAAAAATTTATGGCTCCCTCGAGTACTTCCGGAGCCATGTAGCGTCTAGTTCCTACCTATATAAAATCCGTAAAAAAATTTTCGTATTCGTATTACATCGAATTTTTTTTGTCGAGTCGGTGAGTTCGTGAAAATATTACGTACCTGTCCGTGAGTATCTCCGCAAGGTTTATTAGGTTGAAACATCAAAGCTAAACCAAAGTCAGCAATACATGCACTCATGTCGGATTTGAGCAAAACATTTTTTGACTTGAAATCTCTGTGTGCAATTGCCGGTTTAAACCCTTCTCCTTTGCTTCCCACGACTTCGTCATGTAAAAACATTAAACCCCTAAAAAATAAATTAAATTTTAATGAAGTGAATCGTTAAAGAATAATAAATATTATTTATTACAATATTTTTACGTAAACGTACCGAGCTATGGATTCAGCAATTTTACACAATTCTGCCCATGTAATAATATTAGCTTTGAGGTAGTCGCATAAAGAACCCTTTTCGTGAAAGGCTGTTACTAGCCAAAATTCTGCTTGTAAATTATCTCCTCTTTTCTCAACTCCGATGAATTGCAAAATGTCGGGATTATTCATGTGCGGTAATTTAAA